TGAATAAACTTAATACAGGTTTACTGTATTCTAAACTCTGAATGAGGGAGATATTTCTGGCGGGTTTCTTAAAGTTGTTCTAGAATAATATGGTCATATCTGGACCTCTGGGAGAAACGTTACGACAGAAAAAATCAACCCTGGAACCAGGTGTTCCTAAGTCCGACTAGGTACTAACTTAAACTTTTTCTTTAAAACTTATCAAAAAAAAAAACAAAATAAACGATTTCTTACCCTTGACTTCTACTTGACTCCCAAAGTAGGCTAAAAAATATTTGTGTTAGAGTTCTTTCTTACTCTTGGGATAAAAATAGGGAAAAACACAAGGTTTATGACTCTTGAAAGATTTTATAAAGGTAACTTATGAAGTATGATAGCAAAAAACTTAATGGTTTTTGTAAATGATGTGACCTTTGTACGGTTTGACAATATTTTAAGTAATATGGATTGATTAGATAGATAATTTTAACGAAAAGCATGCTATGGGTATATTTTAAATTATAAAAGAACGGAATAAAACAGAATATTTTTATAGATACTCCTAATAAACAATAGATAATTTTAAACTATCTCTTACTGAAATAAAATGATGAACTATCTCTTACTAAAATGAAATAAAACTCTTAATAAAATAAGGTATGTGAGAAAAATCAAAGGAAAATTAACAATATTTAGAGAAATTAACATGGCGGATGGTTTTTATATTTTTTTTATTGATAATTGGATACACTTACCAGATGAGAGTGGCAATAAACCAAACAGGACATTAAAAAACGAAACCAAGATTTCTGCTACTTCTACTTAAAAAAAACTTCAATATTCCAAAAAAACCTTCTAAGCCATCTCTGACCCCTACTTTTAACCAAAGTGTTTTTAACCAACGTCAAAGCAGAAGTGCACAGTGGCCGCTCGTTTTGACTTAGCTAAACTATGGTTGCCAACATGGATGCTTGGTGTCTCTGTTTAATACCAACTTGGAATTTAAAAATTATGAAAATTTTTAAGAGGATATGGATTTAAATATTTTATTAAACACGTTCGCGATGACGTAGAATTTCGAGATTTTACCCCTTAGCCGTAATTTATATATATATATATATATATATATATATAAATATATAATATATATATATACATACACATATATATATATATATATATATATATATATATATATATATATATTAACTAACAATCCCTATTTCGACTATTATCAATATTTTTTTTTTTTTTTTTTTTATTAACCCCACATTTATTACAATCTATCTGTACAATCTAAACCTAAATATTTAGGTAGATAATAGACAATAAGTAATAGGACTGACAATAATTTGGAATGACATGTAGGGAGGCATCCAGTGATGCACCCCTTTTTTTAAAAACTTAGCCTACAACACTGACTATTTCTGACATAGACTTGTACACATTAATTTAGAACCTATTGTTCACTTAACTCTAACGGAACTTTTCGTTTTAGCCTACGAACAGTACGCGGTTTATTCACTAAACTTTTTGCTAACACGTTTGGGTGCACTTTAAGTTTCTCTTTATGTTTTTTCGCGCACTTTTTGATGTCATCTTTGACATATGATAGTCCGGCATCCCGATGAATGGCTTCATTGGTTATGAACCATGGAACTCCTAGTATTGATCTCAATGTTTTGGACTGGAATCTTTGTATTATTTCAATGTTGGAATGTGCGGCGGTTCCCCATAATTCTATCCCATAAGTCCACACTGGTTTTAGGATGGATTTGTAGATTAATATTTTATTTTCGGTTGATAGTTTTGATTTTTTGCCCAACAGCCAATATATGGTTCTTAACTTATGACCCAGTTGTTTTCGCTTAGTAAATATATGCTTCCTCCAGTTTAATCTTCTGTCCAAGTACATACCTAGATATTTGACTTCATCCCCTTGTGGAATTCCTGTACCGTTTAAGTAAACAGCCGGACATGTTTCCCTACGCGTGGTAAATGTTAGGTGTAGCGATTTGTTTTCATTAATTTTGACTCTCCATTTTGTCATCCATTGTTGGATTTGATTTAGATTATTTTGTAAGATTTCTGAGGCTATTTTGGGATTTTTGTTCGACGATATTATTGCCGTATCATCCGCAAATGTAGCTGTAGTTATGTGTGTTTCTGTCGGTAGGTCAGCAGTAAATATAAGGTATAATATAGGTCCTAGTACACTTCCTTGGGGCACCCCAGCGAGAATTTGTTGTATGTTTGTGTATTCATTCTCATACTTTACCTGGAAGTTTCTGTTGGTGATATAGGACTTTAAGAGTATATAGTAATTTGTAGGTAAATTTTGTTTTAGTTTACATAATAAGCCTTTATGCCAGACTTTATCAAATGCCTGACTTACGTCCAGAAATACCGCCGAGCAGTACCTATTATTTTCAAAGTCCTCGTTGATTCTCTCTACAATTCTGTGTACCTGTTGTATCGTTGAATGCTGTTTTATAAACCCAAATTGGTGTGGTGGTATTAGTTTTTTGTTTTCTAGTATAGGCATTAGCTTAGTAAGTGTCAGCTTTTCAAAAACTTTGGATACCACTGGAAGAAGACTAATAGGACGGTAGGACTGTACACTTTCTGGTTCTTTTCCTGGTTTTAGTATCATTGTTATTTGTGCTAGTTTCCATTGTGATGGGAAGTGGCCTAATCTCATTATAGAGTTGAATAACTGTGTCAGAAATTGGAAGCCTTTCTCTGGGAGTTGCTGAAGAGTTTTTCCCGTAATCAGGTCGTATCCTGTAGCCTTTTTTGGATCGATGTTGTGTTGTATAATATTTTTTACCTCATTTTTTGTGAATCTTTTTTCGGGAAGTTCTAGTTGATAAGGTTTTGTGAGTATCGAAATAATTTCTTCTTCAGTTTGTAGTGAGTAATTTCCCTCATTTGGTGTAAAGACTTTTTTAAGGTGTGTCGCAAATGTTTCGGCTTTTTCTAGTGGACTTCTCGCCCATTGTCCTGTTTGTGTTCTTACTGGTGGGACTGTATAGTTCTGCCTTCGTAGAGTCCTTGTAGCCTTCCATAACGAGTAGTCAGTAGCTTGAGTTGCATCTAGTTTTTGTAGGTATTCTTGAAAACTTGCATTTTTTTCTGCCATTATCAATTTTTTTAGGTCTTTTTGTGCTTTATTAAGGTTTGTTTTACTTTGAGGTGATCTTGTTAATTGCCATTGTTTTCTGAGTCTTCTTTTCTCAATTATTTTTCCATGTATTGTATTGGAACAGTTTTTGTTCATATGTCGATGTGTAGGTAATGGTGTGGAGTTCCATGCTGCTTCCTGTAAAACTGTGTTAAAATGTTCTACTGCGTGTTCGATTTGTTTATCTGTCTTTAGTGGGATGTCTAAATTGATTTGATTGTCTACTTGATATCGAAAATAACTCCAATTTGTTTTGTTGTGTAGTATACAGCTCCTTTCTATTTTTGTTATGTTTTTGCTTACAGTTATGATAACAGGTGAATGGTCAGAGGATAAATCGTAACAGGACTTTGGTTTAAAGTATTTTTCATTTATTCCTCTCACTATAGCAAAGTCGAGAAGATCTGGAATTTTTGCAGGGTCTGTAGGCCAGTATGTTGGTTCCCTTGTGGCTACTATGTTTAGATTATTTCTTTTTGTAGTTCCCGGCCTTTGGTATTAATAAGTCTAGAGCCCCACATTAAATGCTTTGAATTGTAGTCTCCGCCACAAATAAACCTAGGTCCAAGTGTATCAAAAAAGGTTTTAAATTCTGGTTGTTTAATTGAATGTTTTGGTGGACAATATACAGCTGAAAAAGTTATAGGTCCTGTCCAGTCTTCTACAACTACATTTGTGGCCTGAATATGTGCTTTTTGATAGTGAGTTGTCTGGTAATGTTTGATGTTGTTTCTTATAATGATTGCTGTCCCACCATGTGCAGTTCCATCTGGATGTGTTGTGTGATATACTTTGTAGTTGTGAAATTTTATGAAACTTTTTTTCGTGAAGTGTGTTTCTGAAATCAGTATTATGTCTAATTGATGATTAACTATAAATGCATACAACTCGTGTTTGTGTTGTGTCAAGCCATTAGCATTCCATATGGTAAATTTTAGTGTATTAGCCATTAGTTCATTTTTGAGACAAGTGTTGTTAGTAAGTTTAGCATGGTGCTCATTTGTTCCATAAGCCCTTTCATCATATTCTTTAACTCCTGTATGTCATTTGCCTGAGTGACCATTGTAGTATCTTGTTGGTTGGTATTTATCATTTGAGCATATGTAGGTCTTTGTGTTGTACTTATATTTGTTGTAGCCACTGGTAGCTGTTGGTTTTGTAGTTGATTCTGTGATTCTTTCTCTCTTAAGGTTGGAAATCTTGCTTCTTGCAGTTGTTTATGTACACTGCATCCTCTATAATTCGCTGGATAGTTTTTACCGAAAAGTACACACTTTACAAGATCAGATCGAATTTTCTTAGGGCAGTCGGCTGTTTTGTGATTTAGAGCACATTTTACACATCTGTATTGATGATAGCAGAAATTTTTTGTGTGACCATATCTTTGACATCTGGTACATTGTACTAATTCTCTTTTTAGTCTTGGGGCTTCGACATCAATTTTTGCGTTGAGTAAATATTCTATCTGATAAATTTCTTTATTATTTTCTTGCATTTTCAAGTCCACAAAAAATAGCGGTAGGGGTTTTTTTGTAGTTCTTTGAAGTATATTCGTTATTTGTAGAACGATATGTCCTTGGCTCTCTAGTTCTTTTTTGATTTCGTTTATATCCACTGTGGGATGAAGATGACGAATCACTACTCTAAAGGGTTTATCTTGCTTCTTACGATATGTATGATATTCGGTTTTTTTCTCATCAAGTGCTTTTATTATACTGTCGTATATTTCAATTGTTTGGGCCTGTACCTTGACTTGTTCTTCATTCAACACTCTGATTAAATGTTTGTCTTTGGCTATAGTGTTTAATAGTTCGTTTAATGGTTGGATGTATTTGACACCGGCAATAAATATTGGTGGGGGCTTCTCTTCCTGTTTTTGTTTTTCCTCTTCAGTATCTGCTTCGTGTGTCTCTTCATTGATTAATACATTAAATTTATTTGCTGTTGGTGTGTTGAGCCAGTAGTTATCTATCTTGGTTTGTTTAAGTTTGGGGTTTTGTTCCGGACTGGTTCTCCCACGTTTTTTATTTGGTACTATTTGCCATTCTTCATCATTTGCTTTCGATGTGCTTGGGGGTTGATATTGTGGTAATGTACTTTGGACTGAATACTGGTATTGAGGTTGATATAACTGCATTGGCTGGTTTAGCTGGCTTGGAGCGAAATTTTGCTGGATTTGTGATGCGGGATGTGGTCCCGTTTGCATTTGTTGTGGAAAATATCCTAGTTGTTGAACTGTTAAGTTTTGGTCGCTGAGGTTCATCTGGCTAGATGTTGAACATTGAGAGTATGGAAATGGATATTGATTATATCCGTTCGACATTGTGGTTTAACTATTAATATTAGTATAAGATGTTACCTTTGATTTGTGGATTCCAAAAGATTAGCTTCGCAACACATTTTTGACACAATCGCCAGCACTAATATTAATATAGTTACTTTATTTTTATTATTTAATTTGTTTTGGAATAATTAATTAGGTTGATTTAAATATATAAAATCTGTTTTGTATCACTACACCAGATTTATTTTTAATATTTCAAGTCCATTAAGGTATAATTAGCTTTAAATGGTAAAATTGATAACAGTAATTGTTTTATCTACAACCGCCCTCGATCAAGTTTGGACGACGACTCGACGACTATTATCAATATAATTTTCATATATTTAAAACCATATGTTTTCTATTTAAAAGCTAGTTTTTTGTATGTACCACCCGTAATACACGCCAACTGTAGTGAACATTCTTCAAAAAAAAAGTCGTGTACCACCGGTGGACACAATGTGAAGTCGTTAATGTTGTAGTATTTTATTGCATTTGTAACGGTTTGTTCCCTATTTAGGTTGCTGTTAAAGATTTTACATGTAACCTAAACATATACGCAGGTAAAAGTGGTTTAAATATACCTGACAATAATTTTGGACATTCCAACAATATTTGCATGAGATTACTTGATGGACTTTTGTATAAAGTAAAGACTATATTTTAATGATTATTATACTAGTGTAAATTTATGTAAAAAATTTCTTCAGTGCAAAACATATGTTTGCAGAACTCTTAGATCTAACAAAAAAAATCTCAAAACTGTATTTAAAAAAAAATTAAGAAAGATCAAATATATGGAAAACAAAATGATGAGGGCATAAGAGTTGCCAAATGGATGGACAAACGTCCTGTATTAATGATTAGTACAGTTTGCAGCCATACAGTAAACCTCCAACCGACAGGAAAAAAATAGAAAAGATGAAGACATTCTAAAACTACCTGAGGTTATTGTGTATAATAGGGCAAAGAAAGTTGAGGACTTGTCCGATGAAATGTGTTTATATTATCCCCCGTTAAGAAAACATTAAGTGGTACAAGAAAGTGTTTCTCGAAATTTGTCTTGGCACATGCATAGTAAATACGTGGGTTCATTTGTTCAATTGTGGTAATAATCCCAAAACAGGCAATATGTATATGTATATGTATTCGCAAAAAAAAAATTTGAAAGACTATTTACAAACTAAAGTTCAAACTAAATGTGCCTTCCTTGCTTTAATGAAATTCACAAACTCACCTAGTTTTGTATAATGTTTAAATTATCTTTTAAGCTTTGTACAATATCTGTATTATACTACGATATTTTATTTTTAATAAACCATTTCTATTGCCATTTTTTGGCCTTTATTAGTGACCATATAAATTATGACATGCCAAAACGACGGAAAATCCATATATTTATAACTATACTTTAAGCGTACGCAATATAAACAACATATAAATTAACCGTAAGGTTTTAGAGAGTTAAGAAATAGAAAGGTAACGTGTACCACCGGTGGCCACAAGCGGCTAAATAAAATGTTAGGCGTGTACCACCAGTGGTACACGTCGTCGCGAACGTGTTAAAGTGAGTAAAGAATTATTGAAGTGGCGGACTTGTTACGGACGGAAAGCTAAAGTCAAATAAGTCAAATAACGATCTTACATGGTATATATATATATATATATATATATATATATATATATATATATATTCCACTCCCACTCTGACGTCAACACGCTCAAGCCCACTGTGACGCCACGCGTCGCCAAACCTGCTTGAAACCTAATCAAACCTGATCAAACCTGTTCAATACCTGATCAATACCTGTTCAATACCTGTTCAATACCTGATCAATATCTGTTCAATACCTGTTCAATATCTGTTTAATAACTGTTCAATACCTGTTCAATACCTGCTCAATACTAATTATCGCATTCTTTTGAGAGCTTCGTACTTTGTTCCAATAATTTTAGCAAACAGGTTTTATCAGGTTTGATCAGGCTTTTAAGCAGATTTGGCGACGCGTGAAGTCACACTGGCCTTGAACGTGTTTACGTCAGAGTGGGAGTGGAGGGGGGTGGCCAAACCGTCTCCTATTCTACTTTATATATATATATATATATATATATATATATTATATATATATATATATATATATATATATATATATATATAGTAAACTCTTAAATATTGGGGAAATCTGCAAAAAAACTCTAATGTGTATCAATTATTTCACCTAACGTTTTCGCCAAAGAGAATTTGGCTTCTTCAGGGCTGAAAGAGAATAAATTATAATTAGCTACCATATATTATCTAATAAAAAATATTTACCTTACCGTGAAATTTTAGAAATGTCTAGTTATGATGTTAAAAAACTTTAGCTAGTAACAACATAGTGGTGTTTTTTTGTTACTATGTGCAAAAAAGTTTATTTGTGAACGTTGGAAATGTATGGTAGCTTTGAACTTAAAACGCAAAGGTTTACCCAAGGACAATCGAAAAACCCAATGTAACTACACTTAAAAGAAGTAATTCTTTGAATTGTCGGCAATAACTAAATTTTTAATTGTTGTAAAGTTTGAATGTGAGCTTCTGTTTTCATAGAACGCAAGCGCCGAAACAATTACAAGTAGTGCTTTTGATATGAATGTCGTTAAGGTTCATTGGTAAAACCGATGAAGTTAGATCTCAGTCTGGGGAGATATTAGTTTAGAATTTTTAATTGAAATTCTTTTATTTTTAATTAGTAAATTGTTCATGTATTATTGTAATAATATCTTATTGAGATGTATCTAAGAAAAGCAAGGGAATGTTATCTTGTTAATAAAAATTATTATTAAAGTAGGTTAGTTGTTAATAGATATATCAGTCAAGTTGGTTATCTGTGATGTTGTATTGTTATTGGTATCTGATTTAAGTAAGAAGTGGTATATATCGCTTAGATTCTTAATGTCACTCTTAACATTGATGGAAAAATCGTTAAGGAAAATATAAGACATTTCAATGAACTCTCTTTTAGATTTATTGCTCTCACGATGGAGAATTGTAGTGTTCGTATAGTCCATTTGATGACCAGTGTGGCTAATGCACAGCGGTCAGGGTGAAGTCGAGAATCACTTTTGTGTAGTGTAATACGTGATTTCAATAATTGAGATGTTTGGCCGATGTAGGAATTGTTGCAAGAGAGACATGGAATGTTGTAGACAATATTACTAAGCCTATCTATAAGAGTGTTATATTTTATCTTCGAATAAAGATTATTAATTGTTAGGGCTGATCTACAAGCCACATTAAGTTTAATGTTATTATTATTATTAGAAAAGCTATTTTCAAAACTTTTTAGAATCCTTGTTAACCCCGGAGTGATATCTCTGAAATAGGGTAATGAAAAATATTTATTGATAGGAGTATCCGAGACTGGGTTTCTACTTAAGACATCAGGATCAGCATTGTTAGTCACGATGGAAGGTGAAGTATCTTCGTTATGGATAGTGTTAAACAAAATCTTATTTACTAATGGTGTTGGATAAGAATTTGAAATAAAAAGTTTCAGAAGGATTTGTAGGTTTTTTGTATGAAATGATGGATCTGATAGTTTAATTACTCTATTTTTCATCTGTTTGATTAAGTTGACTTTGGTAGAGTTATTATGGTAAGAGTGGTAGTTAAGGTATCTACCAGAATGTGTCGGTTTTTGATACCAATCTATTTTAATGTTGTTGATTTTCCTAATCATCCTTATGTCGAGAAAGGGGACGGAACAATTACCATCTTCCCTCTCTATAGTGAACTGGATATAACTATTAAAGGTGTCTAATAGTTCATCTACCTTGTCATTGGGTATAGCCAAAATTATATCATAAAGATATTTTTTTATAAATGGAATTTGAAAGGATAGTAAAGGAATGACTGAGTCTAAGACATAATCCATAACGTAAGTTGCAATGATAGGAGAAATCTTTGCTCCCATAGGGGTACCGAAAGTTTGTTGATAGAATTTACCATTAAAGGGAAATAAGTGTTATTAAAGAGAAATTCGACAATACTGATGAATCTGTCATAAGACATGGAACAACAACCTCTAATACGGTCCCAGTTGATCTCTATTGATGTCAAACATATTCCTAAATGAACGTTGCTGAATAAGGATACAACGTCAAGGCTAACGAGGACATAATTAGATGGTAATATGTAACCATTATATTTATTTACCATCTCAAAAGAATCTTTGATGTAATATTGTATTTCATAATTATATGCATTAGTAAGTATGTCTGTAACAAAAGCTGAGATATTTTCAGTTGGAGTTCCAATAGAAGCTACTATGGGACGAACCGATAGTGTTGGTTTATGGATTTTTGGTAAAGCATAAAACTGTGCAATATTCCCATTGTATGTTGTTAGTTTTTTCTTTGTGTTACGGTCAATCTTATTAGAAGAGGCTAAGGATGCGAATAATGTATTGCATTTCCTTTGTAGAGAAGAAGTGGGATTGGATGTAAGTGAAATGTAAGATTTATCATTCTCAATGAGAGAAGAACACAGTTGTAAGTAGTGAGTTCTTTCTAAGATGACTGTAACATTACCTTTGTCTGCTTTTGTCACTAAAAGCTCAGGATTATATTTAAGAATTTTTTTAGTTTTGGTATATAAGTTGTTAAAAAAAGTATTAGATGATTTAGAAGTATTCAAAATGTGATTAGTGAGAATGTTGGTGGTTCTAGACCGGATTAAGTTTTGTTCTAATTCAGATGGACATGATGAAATTATGTATATATATATATATATATATATATATATATATATATATATATTGTTTATTGGTAAAAAAAGCATAGCAAGCAAGCGACTTTAGCATATTTATTTTAGTATATATTATTACCAACTTTATAAAAAAAACAGTTGTTAGATATAATATAAAAGATTTTCACGAAAAAAGCTTCTCTATTTTTCTCTGGTCTATAACAGCTTATAGGTAACGTAGTCACATAACCTAATAAAGAAAGCCCCATCATAT